GTTTTTTTCTGAAAACAACTGAGAAAATTACTCACCACTTGCTTTGCTTTCCTTCATGGTCATTCAGATGGCTAAGGTCCACTTGTGGTGTCTCCCAGGTTCCACCACCCTCCTGGTCCATCTCAACACCACGGAACTATCTTGAAATTTAATTTGGCCTCGCGGCCCTTAAAACCCATACCTAAAATAAGAGAATTTTGCAGTCTTTCACTACAAAAATTAATACTTTAAGGCTTTCATTTGAACTTGTATCTTAAAGATAATTTTCGATACATTGACAATTTGTCCTTGCGCTGCTATGATTTCTGTGTTTTTTTATTTTAAAAATCTAACCTATTAAGTTCTTCTTAAAAAAATTCACTCATAAAATTACCTTCTGCTCCTGTATCGAGAGGCTTCTACTGGTACATCGCCAACCAAACTTGTATATTGGTAACTGTGAGTTCTTTACGATGACCGTATTCTAATGTCTTTTTGAGGGTTTTTTCAAAACTTCCGGCGTCTGGACCCTCGCTTTCACGGCCCCTCTACTCGTTTAAAGCTTTCCTTTCAATCTGTGCCTTCTGGGTACGCGGATGTTTATTTTCAAATTTTCTTTTTGGGCCTTGACCTTCGAGTTTCGATGCGTTAGCTTGATAGCTCTTTCCCCCATAAGAGCGATTTCCATTTCTGGTTTCCTCATTTGAGATTTCCTTCGGTACTTTGAGAATATGTTTCCCCCTCTCGCTTTTTCCGCTATTCTGCGATTTTGAAACTTCAACCGCAATTCGAGAGTTCCTGCATGTGCTTAGGTTTCTAATTTCAAAGTAGTCTTGAACAGCGGGTAACAATCTTGGTAATATTATTTCAATAATCTCCGCATCGGGTTTCTTTCCATACGCATATCCGTTAGCTTGATTTTTCGTAAATAAAGTCCGTCATTCTGCTATATCCCGTTGATAGAAACTATATAGTTCGGCTTCAGCCGTGCGCGATCTTTCACTATGGGGAAGGCCTTTACTAAAACGATTTTTTGAAATTTTCAAATGTATATGTCTGCTTCCAAATTCCCCTAATAAAATTTGCCTATATTTTTTCCACCATAGCGCGGCCTGTCCTCTTAGTGCTGATGTGGCGATGGCAACTTTTTGTCTTTCAGGAACAGGGTAAGCGAAAGTGGTTTTCTAGCCTTCTAGAAATACCGCCACCGAATTTTTTTCCGTCGAAATGGACGTTTGGCTTGATTGACGCTCTCAAAGTCTGACATGTACCAAATCCTTCACTAGTTGTCATTTTGGGTGTCCAGCGGCTTCCCAAATTTTCGCCATTTCAGTTCGATAAGTGTTCGGGCGCCAATACGTTGCGCGCCTCCAACTTGCACGCAACCAAGGGTGACTGTGAAAAAATGGATAAAACACAGAGTCTTGTAAAGGGTTTAAGTCCCTTTTTATTCAACGTAATAAATTACAATTGCGTGCTCTTGACGCTCACAGACTGCGCCAAACTCGGCGTCAAATAAAATAATAACCTGAAAAGAAACTAAAGAAAGACAAGACTCTAACTACGAGGCTCTCTAAAATAACTAACTCACCGCGTTTTACAATACCGCTGCTAATTCAGCAGACTTGAAGCTCACTTGGAACGATTAACACTACTTCCCGCCAAGCACATAGGCCGAAACGCGGGGTTCTTCAATTTCTCGCTAACTACCCTCCGCGCTCGTGAAGTAAGAATAATCACACCACACCGAACTCGTTTCCTTCTATTTAAATCAGAATACTTCCGCTGATAATTTGAATCCTTGCGCGTTCTACTAAAATTTACATATTCTGGCATTGGCAGTTCCAGGGGAAAGTAAGGCTTGACAGGAAAGATAGTTTAAACTTAAAATAAATGTTAGTTAAAATAAATATAAACCCTACATGTTATCAAGATGGTTATGTAAAAAATGCAATTTGATCATCATGCTGCAACCAAGCATTTTTAAGCTCTCCAAAAGTTGCTGAGCAATTTCGCTGTAATTCTGTGCTTGTGTATTTCCAAGAAAGTTTTTGAATGCCGAACCAAACATTCAAGGTATGTATGTATCCAATGTCTGGAGAGACAAATTCGGAGACCACGATTGAAGTTAAATAAAAATGCGCGTTATACTTTCCTGGGTATTATTTAAATTTAATATTGCCTGATAACCGATGGTTTGATTCGTCAGTTAATGTACGCTAAATTATTAAGGATTAACTTTGGTATTTCTTTTAGCTATTTGATTGGTATTATAACAGAATTCAAATTTAAGACAAATGAGTATTTATTAAAAACTTATTGTCATATTTTATCCAATTTTTAATATTAAAAATACATATTCATTATTAATTATCCTTTTTATTTTTAGGCTCAGATTTAGATGGAGATGAATATGCAGTTTTGTGGTTACCAGATTTAATTTTTCATAGTCAAAATCTTCCGCCTGGAGATTTTGAAAATGTGACAGAACCAGATGTTCCTTTGATAGAAGTAAAAATTTTAAAAAACTTTACCTATTTTAGAAATTTTATGTCCAAATGTGTTTGTTTTATATAAAATGGTAAAATAGTGATATAAATTTCTACAGTAAATAGTAATGTTGAAATTTATTTATCAGTTATTTATCAGTATGCATTATAATAAGATATTTTTCCAAATGATATTTTTTACAGTTTTGGATTTCAAAAATATCTTGCAGCAAAATCTTTAATTTAAAAATTTCTACCTGTGGTAGATTTTAAAATAATTGCAAGACATTTTAATGTACTTTCATTTTTTAATATGTGGCTAGATGAATTAAAATGATCATAGCTTATTTTGGATTTCGTAGCAAATGTTATTAATAATCTGTGAAGGTAAAAGTGTAATATTATGTTACCTCCCTTACAATACTTGATATTTAACTTAACATTTTGAATCTCCAGATATTGTTACATGCAGAATAACGAATTCTTCGAATAACATTTTTAGAACAGAAAGGGTTCATAGAGTTTAATGATGCCTTGACCCTTCTCTTCTTGAAAGTAATCAAATGATTTAATCTAACGACATTCCAGTAGAATTAGCGATAAAAGAGTGATCATAAACAAAAGCATATAAATCGTAAAAGATACATATAGTTTTTTAATTATAAGTAGGTGTATAGTAAGTAAGTGTAAGTAGGTGTATAACTACAAAATACTTTTAGTTGGAATCATGTCAGGTTAATAAACTTGAAAGGTTACTATTATTTCGTATTAACCACCTACTTATAATTTTACCCTTTATTGTAGCATATCCTTTCCGTTTCCTCATCAGAAAAATAAATGAGTTAGACAGTTCGGGGGATTGCATTGTAAGACAGAGCATATTTCTGCCTCTCGAGGCCACGCCGCTTTGCGTTACCGCTACCGTTATTTCAACTGTTCTGCCGGTAAGAAGTTTTGAGGCAACGTAAAATTAAATTGTGTAGTCGTTGACTACTGGTTAAGTTTGAATTTGGCTGTTACTTTAAACTTTTTTACACCGACTCAGGAACGGACATATGCGGACGTGCGCGAGGAAGTTCCTCTGATAACAACGTCAAATTCCAGTGGAAATCGATGCACCATTCCATACGTGGGATCATCTGAATGATCATAAAAAGAGCTTTACGTCGACACTAAAATTTAAGTATACAGTGGCACCTAATTATCTTTCAAAGTATAATCTTCATTGTGTTTACTCCGAGGCAAAGCTAAGAAGGAATGCGGAAGGAAGTGCCGTGCAAGAACCATACTTCTTAAAAGTATTTCACGACATCTAAGTACCATCCACTTTCAATCTTCACTTCACCGGCTAGCTGGGTCTCTTCGGATTATTTGAAGACAAGATTTGTGTTTGCGCAGTGCTTATACGCTTTTTTATAGTGGCATAATGAAGTGTCACTTTGCGACCATTTTTCTGATTAATTTGATTATATCCCATATCAAGAAGATCTTTATAGTCTACATAGGCCTTTCAATTGTCTTCTTTTTTATTCTAATCTTGTTACAGTAGCCCAATTAGATTTCAAGTAATATAACTTTTAATTTCCATTTAATTCCAGAAACTTCGGTTCTCCCCCTATCGGGCTCAGTAGCAGCTCAAGGCTATTCGACCCAACTTTTTTCTCTGTCTTATCTCCTTACAATAACAACCTAACCTTCCAAAACGTCAAGGTTTCAATACGCATGCTCTAACGTAATACAGTACCCCTCCTGGTCTTTGGCCAAAACTTATCCACTTGGCCTTATTTACATTTTGGATTTGCAATTTGTACTGATAGCTACACCGCAGCCCAGTATTATTCTGCCTTTAGCCTCCGTGGGTGAAGGTCGCTCTTCCGCTGGTCTCATGGCGAGCCATGATCATAAGTCGAATATTCTTCCTCCGGACAAATGCTTTCTCGATTGGAGTGCGCCTAATGACGATTACACTGATGATGCTATGACTGCTACTGAATATGGACCCTCTAATTCTGATGACGGACTCAACTAGGAAGCACAACTTGATCAACTAAATACGGATCATCGGATATTGAACTCGAAAATTAAAACGACCAAGGAAACGAAAAAGCTATTTGACGCCGCCAGGCCAGTCACTGCTCCGGATACATACACCGAAGGTTTTGCAAAGATGCTTCGAGAAGGCAGTTTACAGAAGGATTACCTCATAGGTAAGAGAGATCTTTTAATTTATCAGTGTGCTAAACCTTCCTCTTCTAAATTGGCCAGTAATGTTAACCTGAAACACTTAAAAAGAAAACAGCAAGATAACTCTGACTTCTCTGATGATAATTTATCTCAAAATGATGGATTCATTAAACCCACTCGCGTAACAAAAATTGGTAGAAAAGAACATGCAGCAAAACATCCCATAACTACAAGTAATAAATTTAATATCTTAAACGCAGATAATTCCAAAAACAACTCTGATAATGAAAATATTCAAAACAGTAATCCTAAAGATCTTGAGGAACAAACACCACCACTACCTAAGAAAATATCTGTACCACCTATCATGATAAAACCTCCAGGCAACATCAAAGAAAATGTCTGTTTAAAGCAACTCGCCACTCAGTCATCCACCAAATTCTACAGTAAAGTTAGCGGAGAATTTCTTAAAGTTTTTCCAAACACCTCTGACGACCACAGAACACTGACCATTTATCTTAAAAATCACTCAGTCGAACAGTATCTCATCAATGCACAACATAAGAAACCAATCAAAGTTGTAATTCGAGGACTACCTATTGACATGGACACCACAGAAATTAGTGACATTTTAACAGAACAAGGATATAAAGTTCACAAAGTGGTTCAAATGACACATTACGCACACGCCAATCCATGCCATTATTCCAAGCACAACTTCTTCCACACCCAACATTGACTCTATCTATAACATCCCTCATTTATCATTATTCATAGTCGAAATTCAAAGATACATAAACAAAAACCTCATTCCACAGTGCCACAACTGTCAAAAAAGGCATCACTCCTCAGAAAAGTTTTTCCGAGCCCCACGCTGCGTTAAATGCGCATAAGATCACAAAACTTCACTCTGGCCTAAAAAAGGTTTCCTAGAAAATCCCATCTGTGTTAACTGCAGTAATTCTCACCCCGCGTCTTATCGTGGTTGTGTAAAGTTCCCTAACCCCCAAAAATACAAGCGCTAATCAATAAAAAAAATTTTACTCGGAAGTAATACGAAGTAAACCACAAAATCATAAGCCTCAGCAGCCAGAAACTAACTTCAGTCTAACCCTATTCCCACCATATCAAACCAAGTCATACTCAAAAATTCTCAAACAACTGCCCTTCAGCCTTCTTAGAATTTTTCAACGCAGTTAAAGAACTTGAAGCAACTTTCGGCATTCAACTATTCAAATTAACACTTCTCATCAACCAAAAACTAAATGAGTTAAGTAACGCAAAAACAGTTATGGAAAAAATTTACATTATATTTCTAATACTCGAAGAAGCAAATAGCTCAAATTTTAATTAATTAAATATTCCAACAAATAGTTTATTCGTCAATTACCTCTTAATTGTAACTCTTCGATAATTAACTCAAACTTTTAATAACCCCCATGTCTCAAACTAACCGCTCCCTTTACTTTCGGCTACCCTTTTAAAATCGTATGGCAATGAAAAGAGTCCCCTTGCACACTGAGGATCACTCGCCCACCTATCACCTTCCGCTTCCTTGGCCCAAGACTGCTCTGACTCCTTCTCAGTTTCAAGATCTCCTTGAATGGTCAATAGATGGCGTCAGGTATGCTGCTCTTCCTAAGCTCTCTACCTAGCTACGCATTCAGCTACGGCTAGCCTCCGAAAGTACAGGGTGATCAGCGAATAAGCCCTGATTTCAAAATTAAATATCTCTACAACAAAAATCGATAGAATTATGCGATAAACTGTACATTTATTAGAAAAACTGTAAAAATGGTGTACAAAAGTTTAGAAAATTTAGTTACGAAAATCGTTAACAGATGGCGCTCTGTGCTGAAAACTCTCTGAAAGGAGTAAAAAAAATATTAAAAAATTAAGTGAAGCAGCCTTTTGCAATCAAAATACAATTTTTTCAAAATGTCACCGTTCGAAACAATGAGGTGGCGTAAACGAACATGAAATTTGACATCACGTTTTGCAATGTCTCGACGGAATGGAATCACATGCAACACCATAAATGATTCAAGCATCTAGAGTAGCAGGATTGTTTCGATAGACGCGTCTTTCAATGCGCCCCACAGAAAGAGTCACAGGACTCACTCGGGAGAATATGGAGGCCAATCATTCCTGTGTCAGTAGTTGAGGATCTCAGCAATTACTCCATTCCCAAAGTATTAAATGAAGAAAGTGAAAAACTTTATTTGTTCGATGTGGTCGAGCCCCCATCTTGCAGGAACCAGTCGATAACCTGGTCGATCCTCACGCCGTTGAGTGCGACAAATTGTTCCAAAGTTGTAACGTACGTTCAGTATTATCGTGTTTCGTCGAAAAAGGGTCCGATAATGCCTCTGGCGCATACCACAGCCCATGCCATAACTTAGGCGAATGCAGTGCTTTTTCTTCATACAAATGAGGATTTCGTACCCCAAAATCTCCATTTTTTTATTAACAATTCCATTCAATGAAAATTTGCCTCATCTGTGAACCAGATGCAGCTCACATCAATCTGTCGTTGTCGATCATTGTTAGAATCGATTCGCAAAGTCAACCCTTTGTTGCACAGCTTCATGGGTTTTGATGACTGATGCTTTGGATTTTGTATGAAACAGCCGTAGGCTATTTTTAAATATTTTTTTGTGTGCTCGTGTACTTCAAACCGTTTCTGAGCAATCCGTCGGATGCTTTTCCTAGGATTTGCTGAACAAATCCAGAAACTTTGGCTGAATTTTCAGGAGTGACTATAGTTTTGCTTAGGCCCAACATTCCCTTTCGATCATCAAGCCCGCTGCCATCATTCGAATTTTTCGCCAAGAGCATGCGAATGGTTTTCGCATCGGCTCAACTGAACATTGAATCGGTTTTGAAACTGTGACGTGTTGCCTTAGACTGTGTTCCTAATCGATGAATTCCAGAACCAAAATACGCGTTGTTCAATGGAATACATTATTTCACTTCTACGCTAGCCTCTTTTCACTAGCCACAGTTGTACTGATCACTTCGACTTCGAAGCACATTTTAAGCTATTGATAGCCCTTGCGTTTTAGAGCACCATCTGTTAACGATTTTCATACTAAATTTTTATAACTTTTGTACACCATTTTTACAGTTTTGCTTATAAACATACAGTTTACCGCATAATTCTATCGATCTTTAATGTAGAGATATTTAATTTTGAAATCAGGGCTTATTCGCTGATTACCCTGTATATTCGTTTGCCTGTCTTAGTACTCAATTTAGAACTCTTGTCAACAACAGCGACTTAACTGATCACATTAATATTGGACCTACATCTTATTTTTCCAGTACCATGCTCGTCAACTTTCGAAAAATAGAAAAATGCTGCTCTACTGTGATAGGGTTTTAACCAGGTCGCTCATTTCACTGAACCTTCGGTTCACCGAGGCCAGGCCAGGCAGCCCAGTATTGTATTTTGAATTCATTGTTCTTCAATTAATCTCCTTACTTTGTACAATGCTTTAATATTACAATGTATTAATGTTATATTTTAATTCCTGAATTTCATTACCTAATTACAACCTGTCATACTATTTTGTCAATTTGTTTGATATTATAACTATTTTATATTTGATTTAGTATTAGCATTATCTCGCCTATTTAAATAATTAATATCTAATTAATCTCTTATTTAATCAGTGTAAATTAATTAATTAAAATCTTATTATTTAGTGTCTAATGTAAGAATCTTATAATTCCTGTCAGCTGTTATAAAGGACTCTTCCGCAAGTCAATCTTGTCATTCATTTAGCGCCTTTTTGTACCTATTATATAATAACCCACTAATTAATTAATCAATATAATTAATTAGTCTCATTTCTGGACTTCTACGGGTTTCTGGAAAATTTTACGTAAAGCACTTTATTTCAAGTTTTCTAAAAAGTGGGATACACTTATTAGCCACATTCCTACTAGCGTGCTGGATATTTGTTTGATTATGTTTGAATGAATATATGTTTGCTTGAATTTCATTGGATAAGTGCTTGCTTGTTCTCATTTATTGTCAAGTCCCACTTTGTAGTATTTCAAGCGGCTTTTTACTTTAAGTATATTATCTTTGTTTATGTAATTAACAGCATCAATTAGTGCCACATTTATGCCGATATTTAACTATCATGTATGTGTAATAGTGCCTTGTTTAAAATCTGTGTTTTGAATATTTTAGTTTTTTTTATTTTATATATTTATTTATCTATTTACTTATTGATTTATTGTTTGAACTATTCCGCTTAGTATTCTTTTATGTGTACGTAACCTCCACCTGTATAACTATCATTCTGTTTCCACATCCGCACCCCACAACTCTTTTTCCAGTTAACTCATTACAGCACTGCTTTGTACATTCACTCTACCAACTAGCATTGCTCAGGCCGCCGCCTTCAAGCCATAATGACAACTTTAATTAATCCCGTTGATACCACCACAGGCAACATATGCTCGGTTAACCGAAGACTCTCCACAAATTATAATTCCATCTGAATCAAAAGAAAGTGCAAAACTTATAGAGAACCATACCATCAGCGTATCAATACAAGAATATGAAAGAAGAATTCCAGAACTGTATAAGAAATGTATAGATATAACAACAGAGAAACGCAGTGGAAGATATCCTTTTTCACTAACAGAACAAAAATTCCTGCAGACAACACTAAGCGAAATGAAAGAACTAGCAATTTATGCTTCACACACCCTGCGATCAAATGATTGCTTTGCAACAGCACAAGATGCCAGAATCGATATGGAATTGGTACCAAACACCGTACCGCCAACTTACTCCCGAAGAGTGCAACCTCTTCCCCAAAGAACTAGCTCTAGCACTAGATGCATCATACTACCCCATGACCTCCCAACCCTCCCCCAAGGGATGGTAATCCTACAGAAAACATCAAGCAACCTTGATAACCTCACCGTCAGCAAGTTCCTCCACACAATTATGAAATACATATCGACATTAACATCAACAATATAAACACATATAATGGCAATG